TCTGCATCTCTACCAAAATCTTACTTATACTAGAACAGCTCTCTCGTTACTTCAGATCTACAAAAATATAAGGTGCTCACGTAGTCATTCCCACAATGCTAGTGAATCAGATTATAGTGTGCTCTGAATAAGTGATTATATTTCTGATCATGAGATCCCCTCTTTTATTCCAGCTAAAAATATCTGGGCAAAGAGACCCAACTGTGCCTTAGAAGACACTGGGTATTTCTTTTGATGCGGAAGAAACATGTACCCTACACTTCCTTTTATTGATTGATTGATTGATTGATTGATGTTATTAATAGGTCTAATTTAATGCTAAACTTTAAACTTTCCCTGGAAGCAAAGTTCTCTGAATGCTTCATTCCACCCCCCCAAATTGTTGTATAGAAGAGAAAAAACAAGATCTCAAGGAAGAACACAATACTGATCTGAACATTCAGTGTATATAGCTTTAGAACATGAAAACATTTATGGTTTTTAAAATATGTTATATCTTGCCTGGCAAAATTTTCTTAGACTACATTACCCAACAGCAACCTGTGACTAAAATTTGTCTTTCTCTCAGACTGGCTTATTTCACTTATTTCACTCTCCAGATCCATCCATGTTTTTGCAAATGGCAAGATTTCATTCTTTTTTAAGTCTGAAATATCCCACTGCCCACACTTCCCTTTAACTGGAAGACTTGTTTGGGGATCACTGGCCTCACTTCTGACCCTGAAATTAGAAAAACTCTTCCTTTTACTGCTTATATACCTAATCTGTGGTCTTCTATCAATTTAAAAAGACATGTCAGAATTCTGAAGGTTATGATTTTGGATGGCTGGTTACATACAACTCTAGAGTAGATAGGAAGGGTTTGGTGGAGGCTTCCATCAGAACCTTTTTAGCTTAGGTTGGAGTAGCAGACCTTGAAAAAGCAATTCACAATCTTTCTACACTTATCTCTACCACCCTCAATGTTTTTATCTGAGCTTTTGAACATCAACAAACCCAAACAGATAGCCTAGCAGAAATAGCCCTACAAAAACTACAGAGCCCTTACCCTCTTCACTGTTCAGCAGAGAGGAACCCGTGCCCTACTTGGAGGAGAACTTTGTTTTTAGGCTAGTAAGTCAGGGAAAATAAACACAAGAACTAAAAATACTGAAGGACAATATCAAGTTGCTAGCAGTAGTTGACCAGGCTCCTGGAACTTGGGACATTTTTGATCAGCTAAATATAGCAGGTGGGGAAGCTGGTCGAGAAGTGCATTTCAGTCAATAGCTATCACTGGGCTTTTGGTCCCTAGATTAAGTTTTTAATTAAATATCTACTCTTTGGTATCAGTCAAAAAATGCCTTATTCCCAAATGTATGTACAAAATAAAATTCTTTTCCTTTCAAAGACCTTTGCTAGAATTCAACTGACCGTGGGAACTAAATTGTCCTCCATCAGAGGGATATAGCTGAGATTTTTCATTCTCAATGTTCTTGTTGTTCAAGAGAGGCAAGTGAAATTCTATATCGTTGCCCTCCTCCGTGGGACAAGACCCCTGAGGATGGTCCTCCTCAGCTTAATGGGAGAAGACACCTGTGCACTACTTTCCTAAGCTCCATGGGACATAGAATACGAGCTATCTAGGAGCCAATTACACTTAAAAAAAAAAAAAATCTGAATGGCATAATTGACCAGAGGTGTTTCCTGAAAAAGATCTTGATCAAAAGGGGGAAGGGGGAAGGAATTTCAGTCTAAAATGGAACCAGAGGACATAAAATGGAAAAATCTCATGCGTGTGTCCTTAGGAAAACAACACTTAAGGACTGAGAGACTGATTTAAATATAGCCTACTCCAAACCTTCAACAGACTCGCCTACAGCTTGCTATAGTTTGTGTGCCCTGAGTTGCAATTCCTCTGCTATTCCTGAATACACTCATCTTTTTAACAAGTTTGAGCTTGCCTCAGTTTACCTCTTTGTTTAGGTCAACAGTAGTACTATATTTCTTGTCTAACTCATGGAAAACATGTTGAAATTATGAGTCTAAATCATTCATTTTTAGGGGAAAACATAGTCCTGCCACTTAACCAAAAACACGGAGATGAGATCTGGCATGGTGACGCGTTCATTCCAATAATGCTGCTGTTTGAACAAGGGCAGAAAATAAGCACAACAAGCTGTTGTAATAAGAAGAAAAATTAATCCCCGGAATCATTTTGTGACTAGCAGGTTTAGGAACCCTTAACCAGCTCTGTCATTCTGAGGGTTACTCATAACTCAAGCAGTTCATTTGACAACCCATATTCTTGTGGGAGAAAAGGTGGTCCTGGCGATAGGTAGGAATACCAACTGCTTACCCCATTCTAAAAGTGCCATGTAGGGATGTAGCAATTATTTGATACAAAAAGAAAATTTTAATTTAATTTCATATTGAGATTTATTTGGTCATTTCAAAATATTTCTCGACCCAGCAAAGGAAACATCAACCTTTGGGTTGGCAATCAGCATTCTGAATTGAAGTCGACTGAGTAGAAAATAGGAACATAACGTATATATTGTATTATGAAATGATAAACAGATTCCTACTTACTAAAATATCCGGTAAGTTCTGGGTGAGCCATAATGGTTGATAACAAGACCCTATCTACCAGTTAAAATAAACTGCAATCATCCATTTATTAACTCAGTAGGCAATTATTGAGCACCTCTATGTGCCGAGAATTGTTTCATGCCAGGGTTTCATGGAAATACTAGTGAATAAGGCAAAGATGAATCACCACCTTCCTAAGTGTGAGACAGGGAATAAACAGGTAAAAATAGATGAACAAGGAATAGAAAATAGTGGCAAAAGCCGGGATAAAAATGGAACAAAGGATGAGATAGAGAGTGAATGTGAAATGTAGGCAAAAAACCCACTTTTGATGGGATGGTCTTAGAAGAGCTCTTGGAGAACTTGACATTTAAGCTGTGGCAGTCATGGAAAGGTCTCGGCAAAAAGCATTCTAAGCTGAAGGAGAAGCAAATGCAAAGACCCAGAATCAATTTGGTGTGCTGGGGAGACAGAATGAAAGCCAGTGAGCGAGCGTGTGGGAAAAGCGGGGTGAGCAAGAGTGGTTCATGCACTGCCTCAAGCCTTAGTGAGGAGCTGGGATGTCACTTTAAAGGTATTGGGGTGCTACTGGAATTCTTAAACAGAAAAGCAATGTTATCCATATAATATAATATAATATAATATAATATAATATAATATAATATAATATAATATAATATAACGTAACATAATATAACATAACATAACATAATATACAACATATGTTGTTGTTTTTTTAAGAAGGCTCCACACCTACCACAGAACCCCATGCGAGATTTGCACTCATGACCTTGAGATCAAGACCTGAGCTGAGACCGAGAGTCTGACACTTTACTAAGTCACCCACGTGCCCTAGGTCCAATTTATATTTTAAAAAACTTGCTCTAGCTGGTGTGTGGTGGGCATATTATTGTGAGGCAAGAGGGGAGGCAGGGTCACCAGCTGGGTTGACACTGTGGTCATCCTGTAAGAGATGCTGGTTCCTTGAACTAGAAAGTAGCCATGAGGAAGGAAAGAAGTAAGCCTCAAAATCCTGTAGTTCTTTTTTTTTAATTTTTTTTAAACATTTATTTATTTTTGAGAGACAGAGCATAAGAGGGGGAGGGGCAGAGAGAGAGGGAGACACACAATCCAAAGCAGGCTCCAGGCTCTGAGCAGTCAGCACAGAGCCTGACACGGGGCTCGAACCCACGAACCGGGAAATCATGACCTGAGCCAAAGTCTGATGCTCAACCAACTGAACCACCCAGGCACCCTAAGATCTTGTAGTTCTTATGTTAAGTTTGTATGGCACTATTCTGATACTGTCTGTTGACTTTTTGCCTCTTCTGGTAGACTATCATATATTTTAACTGCTACCATTTATAAAGTGTCCCACGTTGCTCTGGGCTTTATACACATTGAATCCTTAGAACAATTTCATTCCAAGCTCATGGGTGAGGAGGTTCACTAACTCCCCAAGGCCACAAAACTGGCGAAGGTCATAGTAAGATTTACCTCGGTCTGTCTGATTCTGAGCAAGGCACAACTCAGCCAATACACTATAGTGTCTTAATTTAACCTATGCGAGGGGCAGAGTTAGCCCAGGGAAATTAGGGCACAACTGGGTTTCTTCAATGGTTCTTAGAAGGAGAAGGGCAGTAAAACTACCAGGAAGGGAAGCCCTAGTTTCAAGTGCCGATTCCTGGGCCCTGTCCTGAGAATGCAGAATTAGAATCTCTAGGTTTGGGGCTTGGGGATGTGAATTTGAAAAATGCTCCCAAGGGACACTTACTCAAATCTGTGGATGCTGCAAAGTATTTGTTGGCTGGATAACCCCTGATCCAGAGAAAATAGAGACCCACTTTGGATGGGTCCAAGCAGAGTCTCAGCTAGCCCCCTCAAATCCACTTGGAATTCATAGTGTGACTAATATATTGTTAATGATATGATACACTCCGGCCCTCTGGAAGCTTTCTATTTTAAATAATTACTCTTGATGATGAGGTACTAAGTTCAGTTGTCTCCCAAGCTGAGGAATCATAAGCCACTCACCTGGTAAGCATCATATATTTCAAAGGCAAAACAATCTTTTTTAAAAAATTATTTTGAGCTTTCAGCTTTTTCAGGAAACACAAAGGAGTCAGTCCTTACTCCTAAAACCAACCTACCTATGAGACAGGCTGTACACAGTACGTAGAGCCCACAAGACTTTTAGGAGCTTGCAAAAATGTTTTCATGTATTTTTTTAAAACCAGAAGATGAACATGAACATATTCTGGCCTAGATTATACTCAACTTTTACCAATGCAGTTGTAAAATATAACTTCTAATTTTTTTTTTTTTAAATCAAGAAACGTCCCCTGAAGACAACAGTGCCTAGGGCATGCAGAAGTCATAATGTGACCCTACTCACTCACAGTGCTGGGCCCAGGTGACAGACACCTTACCTGGCATGCATTGTATAGGAGCTGATGTTCAAACTTCTTGATCCCAAGAATGTTTTGGAACATCTCGTAGAGTTGCTCCTTGCTCAAAATCAGCTCAGAGGCTGCGCTGGCTGTCATCCGGGCCTGCTGCTTCCTGGGGTCCTCTTCCCCGCGGTAGATGGCATCAAACTTGGCCATCCAGGAGCTCAGCACGGTCTCCTTGCTGAGGCCATCTATCTCGGGCAGGCTGCGCACCCTTTTCTCAATGTGCTTCTTGAAGACCTCCCTGGAGTCATTGGCGGAGCAGCCCCCGCTCTGGACCATGCGGGCCACACGGTCGCTCTTCAGGAACACCTAAGCAGGAACAGGGACAAGAAAGATATCAGGGACTCAGTCTCCTGGGGCTGACTGCAGTCCTGGGTACCACAGAAGGGACCAGCGTGGGCTGTATCCTGCCCCACTACCTCCTAGTTGGGTGAACTCAGAGAAGTCACTTCCGTGTTTTGTTTTTGTGGCCAAATCTAGAAAACAAATAACAAGAGTACTTACCAGGTTGTTAAAGCGATTAAATGGGACGGTAATATCATGAGAGGCGGGATACGGTACACGGACTCCACACTCAAACAGCCTGGGTCCTTTCTCTGCCATCTAATGGCTGTGTTCCTCTCGTCAAGTTAACCTCTTTGTACCTCAGTTTTTTTCATCTATAAAATGGGATAATAGTAGTCTACCTCATAGGTATTTTGGGGGGTTTATTTATTTATTTTGAGAGAGACAGAGAGAGAGAGAGAGAGAGAAAGAACACAAGCAGGGGAGGGGCAGAGACAGAGAGAGAGAAACAGAATCCCAAGCAGACTCTGCACTGTTCAAGGTTAAGCCCAGTGCGGGGCTTGAACTCATGAACCATGAGATCCCGACCTGAGCCGCAACGGAGAGTCAGGCACTTAACTGAGTCACCCAGGTGTCCCTGCATCATAGGTATTTTGAAGTGAGGATTAAACGGATTAATATACGATAACCACTTAAAAAAGTGGACCAGAGTAATGCCAGATGGCTTATTATGGTTATTTATTTATTTTTTTACTTTTTAAATTGAACTACAGTCAACACATGATGTTACATTAGTTTCAGGCACATAACATACTGATTTGACAAGTTTCTACGTTATGCTACGCTTACCACCACGTAGCTACCATCTGTCAGCATAAACCCTGATACCACACCACTGACTATACTCCCTATGTTCCGCTTTTTATCTTCGGACTTACCTCCTAACCGGAAGCTTGTATCTCCCACTCCCCTTCGTCCATTTTGCCCATGCGGCCCCCTCCCTCCCCTCTGGCAGCCATCCGTTTGCTCTCGGTCTGTATGGGTCCGTTTCTGCCTTTTTGTTTATTTATCCATTTGTTTGGGTTTTTAGACTTCGCATATCAATGAAATCACACAGTATTTGTCATGTTTTTTTTTTAATTTTTTTAAAAACACTTATTTATTTTTGAGACAGAGAGAGACAGAGCATGAACAGGGGAGGGTCACAGAGAGGGAGACACAGAATCTGAAGCAGGCTCCAGGCTCTGAGCGGTCAGCACAGAGCCCGACGCGGGGCTTGAACTGATGGACCGTGAGATCATGACCCGAGCCGAAGTCGGACGCTTAACCGATGAGCCACCCAGGCGCCCCAGTATTTGTCATGTTCTTTTGCACTGACTTCACTTAGCAATAATACCCTCCGTGGTGTAGCCAACGGCAAGCCCTCATTCTTTTTAGGGCGTAGTAATGTTCTCCTGTGTGCGTGTGTCTATATCCACACAAGTACCACGTTTGCTATCCATTCATTTATGGACGGACACTAGGTTCTTAGCTGCTGTACCTAACGCTGCGCTGAACACAGGGGTGCATAGCTCTTTTCCCATCAGGATTTTGTTTTCTTCCGGTAAATACCCAGGAGTGGAATTGCTGGATCGTGTGGCAATTCTGTTTTTCATTTTTTGAGGAACCCCCCACCCTGTTTTCCAGAGCGGCCGCACCAATGTGCATTCCCGCCAACAGTGCATGAGCTTTCCTCCTTCTCCACATCCTCACCAACTCTCGCAAGCCAAGGTGTCTCCAAGCGCTCAAGCGGGGGGGGGTCCGGGCGGGGTTAGCGGAGCCGAGGTGAGGTTCTGGGGGGGGGTGGAGAGCCCGGAGGCACTCCATGCAGGGCGTGACCTGGAGTCGGGGCGGGAAACAAGGAGGGCGTGGGCCGGGGTTCCGGGGCATTCTGCACGGGGGAGGCCCTAGAGGGGGAGGGGGAGCTGGGGCTGAAGCGGGTGTGGGCCGCGAGGTCGCGGGTGACTGTGTGCAGGGCGTGCCCTAGCTCAAACTGCCCAAAGCCAAAGGGGTGTCGACTCGACGTGTTCTTGTGTGCTCTGGACCTGGGTCACCTTGTCGCAGCGGTGAGAGCTACAGTCAGCTCTGACCAGAGGTGTCCTGGTGCGCCCAGGGCTGGGGCTGGCTTGCGGGGAAGGGTGGGGCTGGGGTGGGCTAGGCCCCCCCCCCCCCCCCGGCTCCCGGCCCCCAGGGCTTGCTGAGGCCGCAGGCAGGGTCTGGTGTCCAGACCCTGCTCCTGTCACATGGAGGGAGTATAAACTGTGCTGTCCACCAGCCTCTCTGACCCCGAGAGGATTCCAGCAGCTCCCCTGCCAGCTGGCTGCTGCGTTCTAGGGCTGGTCCCTTTGTATTATTCTACTTCCTCTTTTTTTTTTTTTTTTTTGTTTTTTTCCTCGCCTCGTTGCTCTTTTAAATTGCGGCTTTTTTTTTCCTGCGCCACAGGGATCTGCTCCGGGTCCCTGAGGACTATCCCTTCGTACGGCAATTGGGAGCTTTGGGGGTGTGGGTCCCCTTCATTACCCTGTCCCCGTCTCTTACTGTTCTCTGTGTGCTCTCTTCGGCTTTTGTTGGGCAGAAGCTATTCAGTCAACCTTCAGTTCTTCTTCAGGAGGAAATGCTCCACAGATAGGTGCAGATGTGGGTTGTCTCCATGGAGGAGGGGGGTGCAGGGTCTTCCCACGTCACCATCGTGGATGGGAACCCCACCATGGTTGTGGTTATTACATACAAAGTACCCGGCACGATGTCTGACCCTTACCAGGTAACCATGATTTATAGCCCATTTTATCCTCTCAAGGAAACTCATCCCACCCAAAATTGAACAAGTATCCGGGGAACGTGTATTTAATGTCTCTCTTCTTGAAATGTAAACTCCATTAGGATTGGGCTCATCTTGTTCCCCACAATGTCACCTATCTCTGGTATAGAGCCTGGCCCTTTAAAAGGGAATGAATGAAGAAGGTAGGCATTATATTCAGTCTATCTTGTAGACTGGAAAACCCAGACTCTAGAGAGGGGTAGGGATTGTTTCTGGTAACTCAAACTGGCTGATTATAAAGGTATGTTTTTTTGTTGTAGTTGTGGGGTTTTTGTTTGCTTGTGTTGTTTGTTACTTCACCCTGGTTCCTTCCTTCCCTAAGGGTCTCACCTGCCTGGTGGAGAACCTCTCCTGCCTGCGGAAGGACGCTTGGTTGTTTGGCTGGCGCTGGCTGGGTCCTGGAACCAAGCCACCCATTAAGAACAGTTGACTTCTGTTCCAGTACCCACCATTTGGAGATGTGCCCAAGCCTCGTGGTTCTGGGGTGTAAAACAAGATGGTGAAGCTCTTGCTTCATAGTCACAAAGAGGGAACATCTGCCACTTTTGAGCTGTGTCCCGATCACACTTCAGCAGGTGCACAAATACCCTTCAAGAAGCAGAACACACGTTCGCCCCCCCCCCCCACCCCGACGGATTTCAGGAAATGCACCTGTTAGCCAGGAGACGGCACTGCTTGGGGGACATCCCATTGCCTCCTGCTTCATGACAAAGCTTTCCTCGGGGAGGAGAGATGTCAGAACGCTGGTCTCCACCTATTGCCAACATAATGAACTAATTCAGAAAGAAGGAAGGCTGAGGGTTTGCTTCACAGCCAAGGGCCATGGCTGGCTCCTCCATGCCTGGGAACTGGTGCTCAGTGGAGATCTTAGAGCTCATTTAAAAATCAACTGTAGTGGGACGCCCGGGTGGCTCAGTCGGTTAAGCGTCTGACTTCAGCTCAGGTCATGATCTCGCGGTCCGTGGGTTCGAGCCCCGCGTCGGGCTCTGTGCTGACAGCTCAGAGCCTGGAGCCTGCTTCAGATTCTGTGTCTCCCCCCTCTCGGCCCCTCCCCTGCTCATGCTCTGTCTCTCTCTGTCTCAGAAATAAATAAAAAAACATTAAAAAAATTAACTGTAGAGAACAAGCTTCAACTAAATCCTCAAGCCTTATGAGCCTTAATGAACTAAAGAATTTACCTGAGAATCTACAATGTTTAATGCGGATAGTTCTGCCATCTACCTAACACCTTGCGTCTCAGTTACAGGTCTGCGTCTCAAAGTACGTCAAAGTTTTGAGGCAAACAGAGGAAGTTTCTAGGGTATAGGATTGAGGCAGGAGCTGTAAACCATGGTCCGGGCCAGTTGTACTACTAACTTGCTGTGTGGCCTTGGGGAAGTCACCTCCCCTCTCTGGTTCTCCAGTGTCTTATCTGTACATGGAGAGCATTGAATTTTAAAATTTTGAGGTTGCCCTTCCAGCTGTCATGTTTATACTCTTCTTCATGATCACGTTCATCGTTTCTTTGGGCACTCACTGGGGAGGAGACACTGTGCCAGGTGCCAGCAAGACAGTGGTGAGCAAAACAGATGTGGATCCAGCCCTCATGCCTCTGCGACATCACCCTAATAATGCCATAGAAATATTATAACCTGGGACAAGTGTTTTCAAGGGGGATGCACACGGGTGGTCTATTGCCAGGAATATTCCAGCAGGGAGTCAGGAAATCCTTCCTGGAGCAAAACTCCTTTGGGATGATATGGGAATGATGGGTAGGTAAAAAGAGCATGAAAGAGTATTTCAGAGAGGAGGAACAAAATGTGTAAAGACCCTGAGTGTCTGAGGAAGTAGGGAGAGCCACTGTGGCTGGGTCTGCCTTGGAGCAAGTTCCGGGTGGGTGGCAGTGGGGAGACGGGAGAGACCAGTGGCGGGAAGGAGCCAGATGGTGGGAGGCAAGGGAGGCCACATTAAGGATACCGGTCTTTATCTGAAGGGCAGTAAGCAGCCATTGCAGGTTTTAAGCAGGGACACGGCCTGATCAAATCCACATTCCCTCGCTTTAATGCGGAAAACCAACCTGAAAGGGTAAGAGAACAGGCAGTAGGCCAGGTGGGGTGTACTTGCAGGAGCACCCGTGGGTGATGACAGTGGTGGGGATGCGAAGGGTTGAATTATTCATTGTCAGCTC